ACGCAAAGTAATGTAGAGTCAGAAGGCACATATCACCCGAAGGCTACACAATGAAACATCACTTGAAAAAATTCTAAGTCCTAAAGATTGGGCCCCCGGCCCAATCAACATTACAGCCAAGGGAATATGGTAGCCGAAGGTCATGCAATACAACAACACTTGAAAAAAATATATTCTGTCCTAAATGAGCAGCCCTCGGGCATCTGGCAAAGTGATGTGGAGTCAGAGGGCACCTATCACCCGAAGGCTCCCAAGGGAAAATCTACACTTAGAATATTTTCTAAGTCCTGCATATTTTCCCCCCCCGGTCAACTACTCTTACATCAAGGAGGGATGCCATCTCCCAGACCCCTCCCCCAGACCCCCTGGAGTAAAAAAAATCTCTACAAAATTTCAATAATGATTTTTTACATTATTTGGAATATTGTATTTCGAATATTGTAAAATTTCAATATTATTTGTCCATACAGATCAATAATTTATGTCTCTTTGATAATTTACAAAAAGGCAACAACAATTTATCCAAACATTCTAAATCGATCTTGTGTTCCAGACAACAAAATTAATATAAAACACTTCACACATAATCCCTTTTCCATGCAGCTGAAAATTATGATTATGTTATTAGAGCTCCTAATTTAATTATGCTATTAGAGCTCCTAATTTTCAAATATTGTTACAAACATTTGTAACAATATAATGTTACGACAGTTCTCTAAGTTATCAGAGCACGATTCTCTAAATGGACAAGTTTTTGGGCATTCATCCTAATTAGGCCAGCTCATGTGTTAAGATTATAAGTTAAAAATTATTGTACAGTAGTAGTTTAAGGCAACAAGGGCTTGCATTAGTTTGTGAGGACAATACTATGTCTAGAGAGATGGATAGTATATTAGAGTAATGACTTCGGACCCTACGTAGTCGGGTATTACGTAAGGAATATAATCTTGCTTCTAAACATTATTTGAGGAAATCTTACCAATATATTGCTCTCATTTTACTTATTTGAAATATTCTTTTTTACACCATGTATCCAATGTACTTGATCAAAATATGAAAACGAAAACAGTAAGCGCAACAAAAACAAGACAAGAATTTCAAAAAAAGTTTAATTTTATCAACACAATAGTTTGAGTCCATACGTACTATGTGCATTATAGTACATGATTAAATATTTTACAAGATAGTTTGACATATTTTTATACAACAAGGAGTTAATTCATAGAATTTGTATAATTGTGGAATGCCACATGCATTAAACTCCTCAAAAACTACTTTAGATTTTGTACCTAATATGAAAAGAAATATTGGATCCCCTATTATATTAAGGTTGTATACATTAATCCACTTTTTAATACTCAACTTTGTATCTCTTATAAAAAAAATCACTTCTAAAAGAAGATGCACCTTATTGGTGTGAGTAGTACTATATATGAATCCCTTTAAGCAAATATCTGGAATTACCGAATTACATAGATAGTACTTCTATTCTTTTGTCAACGTACTAGAACATGCAATTCCCCTGCAACGTTGTTGTTCTTGAGATATACCATTTCATCATTCTGAACCATCAAGTATTGTGGTTGATGATGGTAGTGGTGAGATCAGTATACAATGTTCATCAACTTATTGTTAGATGGTTTTTCACACCACCCATCTAGCATCAACGTATGATCATTGTTTGCAACGACACCATCGATGTTGTTGGCATGAGCTGCGATGTTGCTGCTGCGGCGTGGCGGCAGTATGCAATGTGTTTGGGTTAGGACGTGGTCGATCGAGTTTGATTTGAGTTTGGTTGACCTCGCACGTTAGATTTGAAAATGATGGTGTGCATGGCCTTGTCCCTCTGGGGTGGGCTAAGTCGACGGGTGTTTGTGATCTTGGCAATCGTGGGGGGATTAGGAGCTGAGGTTACAACCGGCGGTGAACTTTCTCCGCTAGTGCTTGCAATTTGCGCTGGAAACTGTTGTGGTTGTGGCTGGTGTTGGATGAATAGGATGCCGACACGATGACGTTTTTATACTTAATCTTGTTGGTGCTTGAGTGACCAGTATAGTTCTCTCCTTTTACTTATTTGTAATATATTTTTTACACCATGTAGGTAATGCAATACTAATATTATGTATCCATACATATCAATAATTATGACCTTTTTAGAACTTACAAAAAAAGAATAAACAACAATTCATCTAAACATTTTAAATCAATTATGTGTTTCATAAAGCAAAATCAATATCAAACACTTCATACAGAATCATTTTCCATACAACTAAAAATTATGTTTCTGCTCTGATACAGAAGTTTTATAATTTTTTGTGGTAAAAAGCTCAAAGATGACTTTTTCACCTCATGGTTGCAATCAACCTTAGAGCTTGTTTTATTTAGAGATAAATTTCTTTGGCACTTGTAGCCATCTTTTGTTAATCTCAACTTGAAATGGTCGAATTAATTCTTGGTTATCAAGAGCTTTCACAAACTCTTGAAAGAAATAGATTGGAGTCACTCAAATAATTCATTGTGATCTTAACATCCTTTTATACATCAACTTGCACAAAAAATCATGTTAATTATTCTAAAGTGGACCTCGACCAATATAGAAAGATCTCATTATAGCATTCATCTTGTTAGAAATTCTTAATTTCAAACTAATGATCTCTAAAACACTTCCAGAGTGTAGTTGGACTGCTTGTCAAAATAAAGATTATAACAATTATATATAAGAGGACTTTAAATTCAAAATCACTTAACAAGCTAGGCACAACTAATCAAATTGTCAAGTTGCTGAATCATTTATTTAGACTCCTTTAGGTAAGACGATAACTCTATTTTTGAACTGAATTTAATGTATAAATCATTTTGAATTTAATGCGAGCTAAAATATTATACATATATATATAGAGAGAGAGTCATTCTCCTGTCCAGCACTTTTCTGTCCGAACATCATCCGAACACCGCTGTTTGGGGCGGTTCCCGGTAGAACTTTTTGAGCACGTTCCTCATCAAGTCTAGTTTATCCATAACAAATTTCAGCTCAAAATTCGATCCGGAAGTCAGTCAAATAATTCGTTGAAGTTAACTGCGCCAAATTATACATAGAAAAACGCAGTTACCTTCAACAAATTATTTGACTGCCTTACCAATCGAATTTTGAGCTCAAATTTGGTATGGATAAACTAGACTTGATGAGGAACGTGCTCAAAAAATTTCATCAGAAAATTCCACCGGGAACCGCCCCAAACGGCGGTGTTCGGACGGCGTTCGGACCGTATATATATATATATATATGTGTGTGTGTGTGTGTGTGTGTGTGTGTGTGTGTGTGTGTGTAGGGTGCAGTTCCAGTGAGAACGATGCTTAACGTGAGAACGTGAGGACACTCACATTTTAATCAACGTGGTGCACAACGGAGCTATTTTGTTGCACATTTTCAATTTGCTCGAATTAAGCCTATTTAAATAAACACAGTGGCATTTTGGTAAATATTGTGAAAATGTGAAAATGTGAAATATACAAGCTTCGTTGTGCAACACGTTGGGGTAAATGTGGTGTTCTCACATTCTCACATTAAGCATTGTTCTCATTTGTCTTTATTCTGTGTGTGTGTGTGTGTCTATATATATATATATATATATATATATATATATATATATATATATATATATATATATATATATATATATATATATATATATATATATATATATATATAGGGTGCGGTTCAAATGAGAACGGTGCTTAACGTGAGAACGTGAGTACACTTACAATTAACCCAATGTGATACACAATAGATCCCGTCTGGTGCACATTTTGACTTTGCTCCAAATAAGCCAATATAAATAATGACGGTGGCATTTTGGTAAATACTATGCCGAACACGAAAATGTGCATTGGACGAGCCTCATTGTGCATCATATTAGATTAAATGTGGTGTTCTCACGTTCTCACGTTAAGTGTTGTTCTCATTTGATCCAGAATCTATATATATATAGGGGTGAGATCACATACAAACCATGCTTAATTTACTAACCTACAAACTCAATAATATGCAACACTTTGAACTCCAATATGCAGTACAAATAATGTAAAGATGCACTCTTTGAACTTCAATATACAATACAGATAATCTAAATATGAAACTGCTATTTTATGGAATAAATAATATGAAACACTTTGAACTTCAATGTGCAATACAAATAATGTAAAGATAATTTGAATGGGAGGACTAGTTTGTATGAGATCCCACCCCTGCATCTTTACATTATTTTTACTGCATATTGAAGTTCAACGTACGGCATATTATTGAGTTTGTAGGTTAGTATTTTAAGCATGGTTTGTATTTGATCTCTTATATATATATATATAGTTTGGCTCAAATAAAAAGTGCTTCCTAGGTGAAAAATAAGAACTAATGGGGGCCATTGATATGAAAAAATGGATGGAAGAGATCAAAATTTAAGTAAAACACATAGTGGCGTTTTGATAATTTTGAAGAACTTTTAATAAAAAATATTTCACGCACCAGAATATGCAAAAAGTGTACATGTAGAGCAAAAGTGCATCATAGCACATCATAAAAATGTGCACAAGTTTAAGAAAACTGGCAATCTTTTTGACACTCATGGTGCACTTTTGTTCATTTAATATTCACTTTTTACAACAAAAATTTGCATATTATTTGACTCCGTATCTTGTGATTAAAGTTCATCTAATCCATCCATTGACAAGTGATTAAAGGCTGAGATTTGTTCTCACTTTTCATGTGAAGACTACTTTTTACTTGAACTCACCCCTTAAATAACATATACAAGTTTGAGATATTTACCTCATACCCCTTCAAAGTTTAAGGTATTTTTATTATTTTTCCATATATATGTGCTAGCTATTTAGCATAAAGTATCAGGTATTTTAATAGGTATCACGCAGTACAGCATAAAGTAGTGCGATTAATTACCAACGATATTTCACATATGTGCTAGCTATTTAGCTAGTGATAGGTATCAGATATGCATTTCCATTTTCCATAACCTAGCCCAGACCAAGGCAAGAAGGAGAAAAAGTCTGAATATCATTGAATGTAGCGATTAATTTGCAAGTGAATATATACTACATTAGTAAAACAATCAATAAATAAATAATTCTATCTATGTAGAAGATATATTTTAATTAGATCATGATCTTGAGCATGTTTGAAAGACTCTCATCCTCCTCATTCAATACCGGAGCCTTATCTTGATCCGCCTTCACAATAGCCTCTTCACTACAGATATGCAGAATGAATTCAATGTATATATACACATAGATGCATTAATAAAGTTGATCATAAAAATGAAAATTAATATATACCATTAGTCAAAAAATCAGTGTTCAATGAAATCAAGTTTATATTTATATATGTTGTTGTAATTATTATTGTTGTTGTTGTTAAGATTATCATTATTTTTTTTATAATAATTTCTTCAATAATAATAATGTACATTACATTATGATTACTGATGTACGCAATATTGTAATTTAATTACTATGGTATTTATTGAAATGTTACCGTTAAAAATGACACTTGTCCACTTTTGAATACATGATCAAGTTTAGCTTCGGTTTCTATCACGTAATTAACTTCTCAAATGAACATATATACACACAATATTTCGTCAAGCGGGTGATATGAATATGAGAATCTGTCAGGCTAACTTTGGTTTTTGCCAATAATAAAGGAAATTCAAGTCATTCTTTTAATTTGTTCATTTAATAAATGGCTTTAATTTCAACCGTAATTAACCTAATTGGACAGTGGAATGTCTACATCTAATGGAATGCTTCATGCATTAAACTTTTCAAGAACTACTCTAGATTTTGTATTTGTACTTGTATGAAAAAATCATTATTAGACCCCACTGGTGGCGGATATATTTGATTCAAGGGTATTCAGCTAAACACCCAAACACTTGAAAATAAAGTGTAAAAATACATACTCCCTCAGTTTCCAAAAGAAAGTCACGGTCTGATTTCACGATTATTAAGAAAATAAATTGATTTTACTGTAGAAAACACTGTTTAGACACTGTTTGGCATTGTTTGGCATTGTTTGGATGTAGATTTCTTTTCCAAATAAGGAAATAAGTGAAGTGTGACTTTGTTTTTGAAACATCTCAAAAAGGAAAGTGTGAGTTTCTTTTAGAAACGGAGGGAGTACATAGTTTTAAATTGATGTAATGATTTATATATTGTATTTTTTATACAATATTTCTTATTCTGAACCCTATTTGCTTGTGTTTTGTAGTTCAAAAAATTACATTTATTCAATTGTTGGATAAAACAATATTATTAAATAATATTTTAATGTTAAAATAATTTTAAACACTTCGCATTCTATTGACAGATCCGCCCAGGGGCAGATCTATGAAGAGTAGTGTGGGGGCAGCTGCCCCCAATAAAATCCTACTAATCCATATAATTTATTAGTAAATATTGAAAGTTTTATTATTTGCCCCCAATCAAAAAAATTGATTGCCCCCAATACCTCAGCAGTTCGGCCGTCCGCTCCAAAGCCGTAAATCAGAAATTCAGATTATGGAATCATCCAAACCAACAAATCCAATTACGATTGACTAAGCTCAAATACGACAATTTGCTGGTGAATAGGCGAATAGCAAAGAAAACCTAGGCACTTTGATTAGTCGTGCCTCTCTGTTGTTAAGTCATAACGGAGTATTACTTTTTATACGAAGAACGTCTATAAGATTTAATTTATTGGTGTACATCTATACAATTTAATTTAATTGAAGAGTTACTTAAATAATTATACATCTATTAGAGTCTAATTTCTTACATCTCAAAGAAAATGTTATTTAATAAGTAAAAAATCATAACTCTAAATCACATGTTAAATAAAATGTATCAATGCAATAAAACTTTAATGGATCTCTTCCAAAAGATGAAAACTTGGTGCAAACAATTGTTATGTTTTTTGTTAGAAATTTTGCCATTGTAACAATACAATTATACTTTATTACTACGCTATTTTTAGTTTTGTTGTTGTACTATATTACTACCTTCGTGCATAGGATTGAGGCATGAAGAGGTGATGCACTTATAAAAAAATGAATTTGTGTGATTTATATTGAATTAATACATTAAGAATAAAGTAAACATGATTTAAGATATTTTTACACTGACTTATCTTAGTCTCATATCAGACCAAATTTTAACAAACCAGATCAGACCAAATCAGACTTCTGCAATCATGAAATACACAGAGACTAAACATCTACCATAACAGACCAGACTAGATCAATTTAGACAAGACCAGATTTAAACAGACTAGAAAAATTCAATCCAATCAAGTAAAAACATCCTTATTAGAATCGCACAAACCTTGCTAAATTTAATAAAGGATAATCTTAGTGAGGCAGATAAAAAACATATGACATTCTTAGCGCGGTGGGGGTTATCTTTTAATTACTCTCCCCCCAATAAGCTTTTTTTCTGGATCCGCCGCTTATATACATCAATCACATGCATGATCAATTCAACTACCTTTTAATACTCAGTATCTCATTTCACATCATACATTATATCTATATAATACTCCCTCCGACCCTAAATAAACTTCACACTTTCTTTTTTGGGTAGGTCCAAAATAAACTTCACACTTCTTCCCCTTTCTTATTTGGCAAATTGTCTACATCAAAATAGTGCAAAACAATGTCAAACACTGACAAACAGTGTCACAACAGTGTACTCTACGGTAAAGTCAAATTTATTTCCTTAATTTGTGAGAAGTCAAAGTGTGGAGTTTATTTAGGATCGGAGGGAGTATAAGAAAAAATTACACATATATTACTAGTTTAAACTCCACTAACAAAAATATGACCTTTTGTCCTAATTTACTCTCATGATGTTGTACGTGTTCTCTATTATTAGTAATATTTATGTAAAAATCTCATAATATAATAAAGCAAACTCTTGAAAAACTCTTTGGAGGAATTATTGACATGTGTCACCATTATTTGTATGAAAAAATGACATGTGACAACACAATAAATTAAAGAAAAAGCTATTCAACTTACAAAACTCTACTCTTATATATTAAAATATTATATATATATGTGTGTGTGTGTGTGTGTATACTAGTATATAATATGTGTGTATATTTGTTATGATGTTCCTATGTGTATATATTTATTATGATGTTGCTATGTATATCTAATATGTGTATATATACTCTGTATTTGTTATAACACGTGCAAGTTGACCCATGAAACCAGTGAGTTCATCGGGTTAAAGAATGACAACTCTAACCCATCGTGAAATAGGATGAAATGGGCTAGCCCTATGCACTTCGATTCATAGTCGATTGAATTTTCTTTTAGACTCTCATTCACGAATTCACATACAATTCATTTCCCCTACAATTTTAATAAAAACTTTAACCACTTTGCAGGGCCGGCCCTGAGGGTGTGTAGGGTGTCCAACCGCACAGGGCCCAAGAAATTGGAAGGGCCCAATTTTTTTTGTAGTAATATACTACTACCGTCGTCCCAAATTGATTTGCAAATTTGATTTTTCTTAGTCAAACAATTTCATTTTATTTGCTTAATTAGGATGTCAATTTTTAATAATATTCTAATTTGGAATTTAAAACTTTGAAGAGATATTAATATAGTTACCGAATATATAAATTTTAATTATTAAAAATGGAATTAATTATCGATAGGGAGCATTGGCTTTTTTATTGGTTGACCATTTTAATTATTAAAAATGGAATTAATTGTCGATAGGGAGCGTATATATAGGAACGAAGGAGTACTAAATCCTCCGTTTTCACCGGTTTGAGAATCTTAAGCTTTAGAAACTAAAAATATAACAAGCGAGGCATGCGGGATTCGAACCCAGGTGAAAATAAAATCATGCACGCTGATCTCTAAACATCAACCCACTGGACCGAATCAACTAATTGTTGAAATAAGGACGTACAAGCTTTATATTACCTATTTGTTCTACAAAATAAATAATTAAAAATACCTCTTAATAAAAATCGGTTTGGTTCAGTTTGAACCGATTTTATAACTCAAAAAACCTTCATTAAACCGATTTATGTTCGAGTCCCGACTTTCGGGTCCCGTTTGAGTCGGTGCGGTTTCGGTTCGGTTTTTTTAACTTGTGTTGAAACTTTGAAAATAAGGCTTAATTATTTTTGTTGCACAGGGCTTTCATTTCCTCAGGAACACGTACTAGTCTCTAAATAGAATTAAAGCATATCATACTTCCTCGAAGAGACACTCGTATAGTCATCTATAGGTATTAAAATAAGCCTTATTTTTATTCCCGTTTTGCAATCTATTCTATGTATAATCTTCTACTATAATCATCTCGTTTTGGTATTAATTGAACTCAACATAAAACCAATAGAGAAAGTTAAAATGAGTGAGTATATAATGATTAAAATATGCACTTTAAATAGTGTCTCAAACCTATATGAAAGAGTATTATTAAGGAAGATATATACTAACCTTCCTTCAAGCGTTCCATCCGTGCCAAAAGTAAGTTCTTCTATTTCCACATAACCCGACAAATCAAGAACAGGCTTCATACTATCCTCGGAGATTTGACTTGTTGGAACCGTCGATGATGACGGATGAGGCGTATCATCAACAGGAACATGCACTCCCCATGCAACGTTGTTGTTCATGAGATCTACCATTTCATCATTCTGAACGATCAAGAATTGCGGTTGATGATGGTAATGGTGAGATGGGTATACGACGTTCATCATCATATTGTTTGATGGTTTTTCACACCACTCATCGGGTGCGGGCGCGGGCACCGGTTTATGATCGTCGTCCAAAATGCCATTATTGTTGTTGTTGGCATGAGCAGCGACGGCAGCTGCGCGGCGGCAGTACGCAATGTGGGTAAGAACGAGGTCGAGCTCAGCTTGGGTTTGGTCGATCTGGTGTTGGAGGTGGCGGATGATGGCGTAGCAGCCGCCGACGGGGTCGAGGGCCCTAACGTCGGATTCGAAAATGATGGTGCGCATGGCCTCGTCCTTATGGGGCGGGCTTAGGTGGCGGATGATCTTGGTGATGTTGCTGACCCCGAACAGCTTATGGGCGTTCTGGAATTGGCGTTGGCGGTCGTGGGGGAAGTAGGGGGCGAGGATGCAGTCGGCGGCGCACTTCCTCCGCTGGTGCTTGCAAGCCGCACAGGCCTGGGAGCCGTTGTGGTTGTTGGTGGTGCGGGATGAATGGGACGATGAAACGATGATGTTGTTGCTATGGTTAATGATGGGGTTGTTCTTGTTGGAATTGTTTCTGTTAGCGTGATTAATGTTGTTGATAATGTTCATGGTATTAAATTCTTGTTTTTGTTGTTTGTTCGTGTTTGAAGGGGAGAGATGGGGAGATTTCAGCTGCGTCTCCGATGGGGATGGAGAAAGGGAGGGAGGGTCGGTGAGAATTCAAAGATCTATCGAGCCTTTTGCATCTTCTGGTACGTACGTAGTATACGTGCTTAATTTCATCCCTCTATTTTCAAAATTAGTAAAATCAGCTTTTCAAAATTTTGTACTACGTACTATATTAGGCGTCTAATTACGGTACCCCATTTTTTTACCCTTTTTTAACTAATAATAGGTACGGTACCCCATTTTTTAGAAATGTAATATTGTTCTACTAACTAATTTTTAGTACAAGAAATATTGTACCTACTAAAGTACAATATTTTCAATATTAATTGCACTACGTAGTTAAACAGCGTAGTTAAACAGCGTAGTACATTTTGGAAAATCCATTTGACTGCCTTTTCGATTTAATTTTTAGCTGAAATTTGATATGGATAAACTAGACTTAATGAAGAAGATGCTCAAAAAATTTCATCAAAAAATTCCATCAGGAACCGCCCCAATTGGCGACGACCGGACAGAACCTCCTAAATAAGGGGCTAATTGAACACTTTAAGTTAGTTCATGTACCTATTTGACCCTTTAGCCTTTGGAAAATAGTCACTAAATTTGTCACTTTTGGAAAATTTTAAAATAAATCAAATTTTTGTCTTTTGAACTTAATTTAAGATCTTTTCTGTTAGACTATTTTTAGTCCCATATCAGACTAGACCAGACTTCTATAGTTATAAAATATACAGAAACTAGATATTTCTCAGACTAGATCAGCCCAACAAATTTCAGTCCAAAAGAAAACATCCTTAGTAATATTCATGGAGCTTGGCCACCTCATTGCCACATCAGTTGCTAGTCCACTTAGCCACCACTGGTATGTACCCTTATTTTTTGGGGGAATAATTTTTTAGTGACAATTAATAAAAGGATGACAATCTCATCATAAGGTTCATCCAACACCAGCACAATAGTTGACTGGGAGGATGCAAATATAACTTTAATCGATCACAGACCGAAAGATAACGAGTGAGACTCTGGTTCAGGTACTTCCATTTGATTAGAGAGGGAAATTAATTGTATATTTGAAATAGCAGTTCCATTTATTAGAGAATAAAAGTATACCTATTTTAAGTCACCTAGTTATGCCAAATTAAGTCATTGACAAAACACGGCTGCCCCTTATGCTTTCGCAAACTATACCGTGGTACCAGTGTACCATGCTCATGGTATACCGGTACCACATACGGCACCGTTTTTCTAAATTAAAACACCTCGAATTTACTGCTCTTCTTTAGCCGGTTGCTATTCTGCTCCGTTACAACAACAGTTCGACGCACTACTTCCTCCCCAGCCAATTGTTGTAGTATATCCTATCTAGCTTCTTAATAAGTACCTCCAGTCCCATAATACTTGGTCAACTTTCCTTTTTTGGTGTCCCAAAATACTTTGTCATTTCCATTTAAAGTAACAAATATGTGACTAAAGTTATTTCTCTCTCCTCTGCACCAATATCAATCACACAGTTTTTACTTTATTAATCTACGTGCAAGTCAACATTGGTTAAGTAGTATGGGACGGAGGGAGTACTTTTTTTTTACGATGAATTTGTAATCATGATTCGTATGTTGATATCATAGAGTAAAAAGCTTCCACTAACATTCCCTGCTTCCCCTTCAATCGATTTCTTTCTTCTTTTTTCTTTTCTATTCTTATTCAATTGTATTAATCTCCTTTATTTATTAAAATATGAAAAACATGATCACAATGACTTTTTGCTATAATACGTAGTATATTTTTTACATTTTGAAGATGACTGTTGTACATTGCACTTGAAAATATATGAAGCTACATCATCTTGTTCGAGTTACATGTTTTTATGCGTGAGTTACATCTTGTTATGCGTGAGTTACATACTTTTATGCGAGAGTTACATCTAATTATACGTGAGTTACTTCTATTTATTTGTAAAATTTTACTTATCTTTATCTTTAACTAATATAATTACAACTGAATTAATTTTTTCTTTACCAATTTAATACAAAATTTTATTAGACCACATAAATAAGTATATTGTATTTCATAATCACAAAATAAAACCCTTTTATTGAATAAAAGAAAACTTTTTTTCAATCGATTTCTTTTGCAAAAAAAAATATTTTTTGGGAAAAAATGATTTCTTTTAAAACAAAACATATTCACTATTACGGTAAAATAAATAAGAAATTAGACTCCTTTTTTATTGTTTACATTGATTTTGACAAGTTACATTTCGACTTGCCTGCAGTAACATTTTTTATTAACGTGAGTTACATTTCTTTACACGCGAGTTACATCATTCATCCTACCAGGACATAATGAAAAAAAAAGATAGTGTACACGCGTGTATTATTCACGTGTGTACTGTTCACGCGATTTTTTTAAAAAAATGTGCAAAATTACGTCGTTTTGAGAGTGGAGCATGATGCTCACCGTGAGATGATCCCACGGTATACGAACTGTTATGCTTTATGCCACATGGAGAGAAGTGTACGAAGGAGAAGCCAAATATGAATTCTTCAAAATCACCATCGGTTCCTCGCTTTTCCAATCGGTTAGATTAATTGATTAACAGATTCTTTTTTGAGTGTTGCTTTTTGTGGTCTTCTCCCTAGCTTTTGTCTATGGTTTATTTTTCCGGCAAACGGCTTGTGCCGTTTCTTTGTCCGGTGAATGATTTGGAGCGACAGTGGGAGGGCGGTCGTTACCACGATCTACCTCTTCATGGTCTGTTTCTCAATGGTTTATGTTTTTAGATGTGCTGATATGGATCGAATATGGAGGTCCGTGATTGATACCTTCGATTGGAAAATCGTCTAGTCAGTTTCGCTCGACTTTACCGTCATATGGGGGCGATTGAGACTGTGTTGGGCACATGGTACAAATGGATGTGAAGACTGGATTGGGTTCTATTTGGATGGATTTCACCTCAAGGGTGAAGATAGATTGGCGGTACGCCCACCTCCTGAAACGCCGCCCTGGAGTGATCGATGTGTTAGGGTTTGGAAGAATTATCAGTTATTTTTGTTATGGTCTTATTTTGCGTTATGTTTTACGTTGTTTTATTTTTTGTTGATGTCTTTAGTTTTAGGTCTTCAATAATGATTGGAAATTGTGCTAGACATTATGTCGTTAGAAAGATCTATATGTCTCAGTCATTGTTGTGTCACACCCGTTTGCTGGTTAGCGATTCTTACTGCTATTTCAGGGGTGGTCGTCTCTGAGTCCTAGCCGTAAGATTGATAGTGCTAGTTAGTTACACATAGTTGTTGTCATTGTTGGTCTCTTTAAGTTTGTTGTAACGATCTGAGTCCTAATGATACTAATATAAGCAATTTTTTCTTAAAAAAAACTTATTTCTATCTGTAAATCTCAACATTTTCCTCCTATTTAGAGTAATATGGAGTACTCGGTATATCTTTTGTTTCTTGTTTAAAAATTATTATTTTTAAACATTAAACATTAAGACAATTTTTTGTTATTTTTAAACATTAAACATTATTATTTTTAAACATTAAGACAATTTTTTGTTGCAAGAATTATAGTACGTCCCAAATGCAAAATTTTCATTTTAAACATGTTTCTACACAATTAAAGATTATGTGTAGAAATGGGTAAATCGTCGTGACTTGAAAATATGTCCTTTTAATGTACAAAAATGATGTTTGTACCTACTCTTATACCCACTTTTATACGCATTCATGTTTGTGAAGGCTTTTTTGTCTGTGAATTTCGTTCACAGACAATATTTTGTTTGTGCTAACCAGTTATTTCCCCCAAGAAAGTTCTCTCGAACCAAACAACTAAAAAACACAAATGCTAAAGGTACCCCAAAATGTACCCCATTTTTACCCCCACCCCCTAATGTGTGGCCATAAATGAGGCAATTCTAGTCCAGTTCGTATATATTGAGACCTAAACAGCCAATTCTAGTCCCATGCTCATTTTCATTTAATAAATTTTGCTCCCATTATTTTGGTCAAGGCTTTGCCAATTTGGGATGTAAATAGAATTTGTTATGATTCTGGTGTAAAATAAAAGCAGTGCATTTTAATTTTTGTTGCAACAAATTTACCGGGCTATTATATGTTCCAAGTAGGGGTGGACCCGGTCAGCGGTCCCGGGCTGGTCCGGAACGGGGTCCAGTACTGTGTGGGACCGGACCGGGTTCAGTTTTCCGGTTCCGGTCTAGGACCAAGTACCCAACCGAGTAGATACCATCTCGGTCTCGGCCTCTCGGGTCAGCAAAATGGGGAACGGACCGGGCGGTCTCGGTCCCGGTTCTAGTTCCAAGGGCTAATTCTTTTTTTTAAAAAATTATTAAGGGTCCGTTGAAACCTGGTTCGATTCCGGTCTTCACATTTAATACCCGGGACTGGCTGGTCTGGGACCGGAACCGGGTCCATCCCTAGTTCCAAGCATACCCTGATATAGTCCATTCTAAGGTGCTACAACTTTATAAGTAAAAACGTAGCCCTTTATGTTGTTTGGAATGTGAACCCTTAATAGATAAATTTGGGTATGATGGGATTCGGAGTTTGCAAACATCCAGAAGTCTAGAACAACATTCAAAATTGTAAGACAAATAACCAAGCAAAACGTCTTTAATCTGTAATAATATAAAATCTAGTTTTTCGCTCTAAAGTGGATGGTTTGAAGACGCATATCTTGTTTCCATTTCCATTACCTGGTAACTCTGTAGCTCTGGAAAAAGAAAAGCACTGAACTTATATTCCACAGTTGCGCTAATTTTTTTAGAATAATTCAGTGATCCAAAGTGAGAGCACATACCTTTACCCTCTTAAGAAGTTCCTTTGCCTTGACATCATTCTTGAAATGATCACGCACAGGCTGTGCATAGCACATGAAAGATGTTTTAAGAAAATATATATTCCTAAATGTAGGTCTGTGGTTTTCTCACTTAAAATGAAAAACCTAAACCTAATTCTTATAAGGCACCCACCTTCAACTCCATCGTCCAAGTACAAATCGAATGTTTGAAAAGATACTAAGAATGTTAATATGCTTGGATCTGGGAAAATAGTCGGTTTCGGTTTGGTAGGTTTTTGGTTTGGTCGGTTTGGTTTGGTCGGTTTTGGTTTTTGAAAAGGTGAAACCGAAAACCGAACCGCGGTACGTGAGTCGGTTTCGGTTCGGTTATTTTCGGTCGGTTTGATCGGTTTCGGTCGGTTTTAGCATGTTTTGTCGGTCGGTTTCGGTTCGGTCGGGTTTTTAACCCAAAAGGTGAAACCGTAAACCGAACCGTCAATGATTAGTCGGTTTGAGTCGGTTTCGGTTTGTGTCAGTTTCGGTTTTGGCCCAGTTTCGGTTTTGGTCGGTTCGGTTTCGATCGGTTTGTCGGTCGGTTTCGGTTTTTCGTTTTTTTTTGTTCACACCTAGAAAATACTAGGGAAAGGAAAGAAAATGCTAAAGTAGGACTGCCACAGGAAAAGCAAAGGAAGATATTACAACTCCATAAAGGTGACTCCATTCATATATGGACAAAAAAGTACTACCTCTATCTCGATTAAAGGTTCCCATTGCAAAATGGCACGGTTATTTAGACAATAATTAAATAAGGTAATTCGTGTATATATTTATTGAGTTTGAAATAATATTTCATTTTCCTTAACACTTTCTTCCATACCAAATATCACAATATTTTCCTAGCTATTTCTTTCCAAAAAGTTTCCAAACAGTGGCAAAAAAGTGTGTACCTGCAGGATCTTGTTCAGCGCTTTTGCGAGAGCAGGTTTAAGGTCAGCAGGATGCAAGCTACCAAATTCATAGTCACTAATAAGTTCCTCAAAAGTTGAGAAGGTCCTGCACGTGAATAAAAAGTTAATAAAAAGTGCTGCGATGGAGAATGGGTGATAATCACTTGTATCCTCATGATGTTCTAACTGGACCAGCAGAGCAAGCATATCCAATATTAATGAAAATTAAGCTGAAGTAAACTACTACTACCTCCGTCCCAAAAAGAGATGCAAATTTGACTTTTCTTAGTCAAACAGTCTCGTTTTGTTCACTTAATTTGGATGTCAATTTTTTATTATGTTCTAATTTGGAGTTTACAACTTTGAAGATATTTTAATGTAGTTAATGAATATGTAAATTTTAATTATTAAAAAATGAATTAATTATCCATACGGAGGGTTGACTTTTATTATTCGTTGACCAAAAAATTGTTGACTTTGCAAAACAAATTGGGACGGAGGGAGTATGAAGCAAGCATATCTGCATATCCAACATGTCTTACTTGTTACCACCATTTTCTAGACTTCGCTCCACCTTGAACTCATTAAACCAGGGAAAGATGATGTACTTGATGTATTCTAGACACGGATTTTTCTCTACAACCTTGGGTGGGCAGAAAGCCTTCTTTATTTTGAGATTCACATCTGCCTATAAATCAAAGAAGAATAAAAAATCCAAGTGTCGGTTATGAATAGTCAACTGTGCTGATAGATTCAACGGCATCAACTATGCACTACCTCTTCATCTTCCATGAAAATGGAGGATGACGGATCACTTTTGGACATCTTCTCTTGACCCTCCTGCAAGCCAGGCAGCATGTCTGCATGCCAAAATATAAGTGAAGGGAAAATATAAACCTCCCAAACAAATCTCACATTTACAGAATTGTTACTATTCCTGTCCCAAGAAAATTCAGTTTAAACAGGCACAGAAATCAGGAAAATTAAAACTGCATTCATAAGAAGGGAGAAAAATCATCTGAACCATATTCTAAATTTCTGATTTTGAAAATAAAATGATGTGGAAGTATACGATGAGACAAAATGATAGGCTTGTTTTTCCTCTTTATATCTTCACAGTATTCTCTTGCAAGCACATTCACTTTTCGCTGGTCCATTCCCAATTGACAGATATCAGCCTGCTAGGAAAAGGGCATGCAGTTGGTTGCGGACACAATATATTCAAGGATGTATGCATCTAAATGTAAAAACAATAAAAACATGTGAGCATTCGGTCTATAAAAAGGGCAGCCTGGTGCACGAAGGCAGCCTGGTGCACGAAGGCACTCCACATGGCAAGGATCCGGGGAAGGGTAAGACCACAAGGGTGTATAAGGGGCAAGCCTTCCCCTGTCCATTTCTTTTACAAGAGACCACTCCCAAGACTTGAACTTGTGACCTCTCGGTCACACAGAAACACCTTAGTGTTCTGTTTAAGTTTAAAAAATCACAAATGTACTAGTCTTTAATATGGAAATGACCTTGCTATGAGAAAGTTACATCCAAATACACTAAAAGTCTAAAACATGTCCAAAATAAATAAATAAATAAGTAAATAAATGAAGAAGAGCTGCAATAACAATAGAACAGAAGAATATTTAACAATGTTTAGCATTATCCGTATTCATGCCATGTCCAGCACCAATACTCTTTAACTACACGTCTATTAGTCCACTGCCTAAGTACACTATGAATGGTTTGAGGCAGGGTAGTCAAAAGCAAGCGCCTAGGCGCTTAAGCGCACCAGGTGAGGCGCTACCAAGGTTGTGCACTTTAAGAGTTGTCAGGCGTAGCAACCTGTCAGGCGCAGAAAAAGCATATGAAGTGCCCCAGGCGCACGCTCAAAACCCCTAGGTCAGAAGGATTAGGATGAGATGTAAGATACACACATATTTGGCCAAATGACAGCATTTGAGTAGGAAATATTTGACTATTTAGGTATCACAGGCATATATAAAGGTTCTTTTCATATGAGTAGGAAATATGAAAACTATAAAAGTAATCAAAATATTGAACAGATACTACACTTGATCTTAGCCAAAAGGCCGAGAAAGGCATCAGTGATCAAAATATATGAACAAATAAATAATTTTTGTCATGCAAATTCAAGCAAAAAAATTGACTTTCATATCAACAAAGATTACCTTGAGGAAAAATATGTCTGCGCACTGCATGCATGGGTACAATATTTGGGCAGCAGTCAATTCATCTTGTTCAGAGCGACCCATAATTTGACAGCATCTGACAATTACAAGGAGGGAGAAATCGAGACATTTTGCACCGACTGTTTTCCTTTTAAAGGAAGGAGATGGATGTTCACTACTAACCTCAATATTCTAGGAAGTGTATTTCTCCGTGCAATGTCCATAACAAGTGGCCAGTACTCATCAGCTCTAGAATTGATCTCTTCAGAGGACCATAAAAACTCAATTTTGTTACTCTCCAGATTCATTCCCACAGCTTTCCATATCTCAATCAGATACTGACCAACAACTTGAATTTTCTTCAAGTCCCCGCCCATTTTGTTGTTTAGTTGAGCAAACCAATCTGCAATCCAAATCTTTACTTTACAGCCCGAAGATACCAACTTGTTAACGTTAATTGTCTTCATAACACCCTGTTCATGGAGGATTTGTTGTTGATGTGGTGAGAATAAAGTCCAGAGAAAGACACACATAACCACACACCCAACCACATTTCGTTGATCATCTATATATTATTGATTTTTAATGATGATCTTTCAAACACAGCAGTATTTAGAAATTGAGGAAGAAAAAGAACAAGTTAATCACAATCAGTGGTTCAATATCCACTGGGGACCAGTAGGAAGTGGACCAGTGCCTACGAGTTTTTTGTGGGGGCTAGATGGCTAGGTGCTGCCTAGAATCAAAGCCTATTTGAAGTTTGTATTTGAATTCTTAATATAATCAATTTAAATATATTAAACCTTCAAATATAGTAACATATGGGACCTATTCAGCCCCTACGTTTGTGGCATTGAATATCTCGTTTTGCCTTTTTCTTTTTTTCTTAATTAAGCCTACTAAACAAATGTTCCATCGGTTGCATTTTGTTTGTCCCGTCTTTCTTTTTTAAGCCATCCAAAAATGTTTATCCCATGCCAAAGTTGGCCATGGTTTGTGGCTCAATCGTGCTTACTTTGACATGTTCAATATCAACCACAGAATCCAACTATTCCTTAATATTTGTGCCAAACTCCATGTCCCAAACTAAATGGGACGGAGGTGGTATTTTCATACATTCATATACACTATTATATACAAAAGTACATAGCATAATTGATACTATCGATCAAACATTCTGAAATTAAGGGTTCTATTACATGATTACAAATTAAAACCAACAATCTAATACAGCTCCATTTTTTCACGACTGAAGGATAAACAGAATATATAAGGATTATTGTTTTAATAATAATACCATGGTTTGTATAATCAGATTTACTCGGGATTAGGGCTTTGTTATTTGGAATTAAGGCTCAGTTTCTTCCAAAAAGAAACAAGAACCCAAATATTCCAACATGGAGACTGTTTCCTTTTTCATCCTATACATAGACAAAATTAAAATAAAATACCTTACCACTAAAATCATTTCAAATACATATCTACACACAAATATAATAGCTACACCTTTACTAATATTGCGGCTACTGCAAATACACATTTCATATTTGGTGTAACTCAGCAGCCGGAATTTCACTTCCTCTGAATAAATGAGTGATATCCATTGTTAAATTACGTGCATAGAGCTCATGAGGAAGACACAATCTTCAATATGTTGCAACTTGAAAGAAGATATATGCACTTCAAAAACCATACGAATCATGGAAACAAAATCCCAAAAAACTGAGAAAGGTCATGTCACAGACACTATGAGCAAAACGGTTTTATTCAAATGGCATAACAGAATTACAGACCTGAGCAATGTGCATCCGACCAGAGGGTTCAAATCCATCATAGCATATTGGCTGAGGCTTATTCGCCAACAGATTCTTTAACTCTTCTTCCTGGATACACTCTTCCCCTATGCTCCTAACAACATCAAATCTCTCCTCCAAACTCATCCTTGATTAAAAAAAACTAACAATGAATCACAACAAAGCCCATAGCATTGGGAACAGTTGAACACATATACATGTAGAAGGAGCAGGAGAAGAGAATTTCATTACTGGGACTCGGAATTGCACGGGCTAGAGGATGAGGAGTGCAAGGATAGTGATCCCAAAGCATCCAACTGGGGCTCTTGATTGTCCATGGATGACTGCTTCTGCAAGCAGAAGATCGTGAGCAGGGGCAGCCCTCTATATTTGAAGGCCTAGGGGCGAACAATATAAAATGGGCCTAGTTTTAAAAAAGGGAAATTCTCACAAGTAGGCTTAAAAAGTTAAAAGTGAAAATAATATCACTTTTTTCACTATCTAAAGTTTTTTCTCAAAATTAGACTACTTCAACTTTTTCTTTCACAAATAGACCCATGCTTGTGTCTATACTCCTTCAGAAGCAGCTAAGTTCCATATCTTTGCTCCATAATTGATGAACTACGTATCTCTACTCCCTAGTGGCCTAGTTGTTGAACACTTGAACAACTTGAACTCATAAAGGTCTTGGAATTATTCTTTTTTATTTTTATTTTTTAATAGAATAAATGCAAATATATTTATTAAACGTCAAAAGATTATGAATAATTGGAAAGAAAATTACAGTCTTAAAAACAAAATTAATTAAAAAACTAAAGCTACTGACCTGCGCCAGAGCTGGAGGCAGAGCCAGAGAGAAAGGGGTCGAAGGACGCTGGACGGCGAAATCACGGCGTGGACGTCGGAACAAGGCGTGGATGGTGTCTTGGTTTTCTCGTCTTCGTCGCAGGGTCGCAGCTCACAGGTTCTCCGTTCTCGCCTTCTCCGTCGCACGCTCTGCCGCAGTCTTCGTTCTTCGCTTTTCTTTCTTCTCTGCGCGCAGGTTAGTTCATTAGTCTGGGCTATGGGCTGGGAATAAGTTTTGGGGTGGGCTGGAAATAAATTTGGGGATGGGCTGATATTAACATCATGTACTAATAAAAAAGGGCTGTCGCCAATCTGGTGCACACTCCTGCCCTCACAGCAAGAAATGAAACAAATCTGGAGCACGTAATTAGTTATTTACTGTCGCCAATTTAATTATTAATAAAATTCTTTAAAAATAATAAAATATGACTTATTGTCCCAACTAACTTTCTTTATAACTTAAGTATTTCTTTAGAGTGTGCATTATAAAATATGTTAGGTATCAATGTAATAAATTTTGTGTATTAATTATTTTAATATTGCGTGCTCATTATTAACATGACTTATGTGTTATAACAAAATGAGTATAATGCAAAAAATAAATGTGCATGAGTAAACATTATAACAAGAATATGATTAATTTTGTAATTTAAGAACGACAATATGAATTATTTTGAAACTAGAATTTATTATATTTATCATTGTTATATAAAATGATAATTTAGTAAATTGATAATAATGAATTTGTTATATATGCATGTTATATAAATGAGCTTCATGTTAAACTCAAACGGACATAAGATTTAAAAGAAATGATTATAAACAAATTAATATTTGAGCACATAAGAGATTTTAACAAGCTTTTGAATTTTGGGATACTCATTTTGTAAGTTATGTATACTGATTTGATACTTCTGTTATGTTCATTTTCAAATGTCATATCAATATTGACGAAACTCACGCAACCAGATTGGAGCTTTCTCACATAATCTTAAAGCTCAATAATAAAAAACTCAATACTCAATAAAGATGTCTTGATTCTAAAATATGCTTGGAAATTTTTGAATTTAATTGAAAAGTTCCAATGTCTCTTTTTGGCATCGATATCATGGACCGTTTCATGTTAGCCGACCTCAAAATCTTTTGGACCGTTCCAATGTTGTTGTAATTGAAAAGTTCCAATGCTCAATACAACTAATCTCACTGCTCAATAGTCAAGAATGATATTCAACAAAAATATCTTGATACTTAAATGCGATTTTGAAATTGAAAAAATTGACAAGAATAATCTCATCTTTCACCACTCTTCTCATAATAATCTCACATTTACGTAATTCCAGAATAATCTTGCCTTTGCACCTCTTCTTCTTTCGTTGGACCTGACTAATTGGTGACCTGCTATACCAGGTTTTTTATTCTTTCTTTGAAAATCTTACATAAATAATCCCACCTGATGGAATATATGGCCCAGGGACCCCCGGCCCACAAACTCCTACTTCTCCTACACGGGCCCATCAAGCCCGATGAGCATACAAAGCCCAAACATAGCGGCCCAAGCATAAAGAAGCTCACGGTGCACACGTGGATGCCTTCGGTCATATGACCGAAGGCTCCAAATTCTAGGAGACAACTTGATATGGACCTGCAAAGCTTCTGGGAAATTCTGGCTAAAATATTAGCCTTCGGCTATGTCATGCCCTCGACTGTATATAGCCTTCGGCAACAAGCCCTCTCGGTGAATATTCCTTTTAGAGACAGGCAACCACCGCATTCAATGCGGCGTCACGTCCAACCACCGTATTTAATACGGTGCACATGCAAATGTCGGTGCCAACCCGATTGAGGTGACCCTCAGCCGTTAGATGTTTGACATGTGTCCCTGCCTAGCATTTATGACTGCTATAAATAGCAACCTTTACTCCTCTTGTAAAGGATCCCATAAGGCTTTATAGGTTGCCCCCGATACTCACCGGGGATCCGTCATCCCCTCATCGGCCATGTATCGTTATGTCATCTTTATATGATGACGAAGAGCTCATCTACAGGCCCATCAGTCATATATCGCTCTGTCATCTTTATTTGACGACGAAGAGCTCATCTAGAGGCCCAACGGCCACATATCATTCTGTCATCTTTATTTGATGACGAGGAACTCATTTGTAGACCTCTAAGCCATATCTTGCTCAATCGTCTTTATTTGATCACGTGAAGCTCATTTGCAGGCCCACCGGCCATGCATCGCCCCGTCGTCTTTATTTGATGACGTGGAGCTCTTATGCAGGCCCCTCGACCATACATCGCCCCGTCGTCCTTATTCGACGACGTGGAACTCTCATACAGGCCTCTCGGCCATTAGCCTCCCAATCATCTTTATTTGATGACGTGGAGCTCTTAAGCAGGCCTCTCGGCCACACAGTGCCCCGTCGTCCTTATTCGACAACGTGGAACTCTCATACAGGCTTCTCGCCCGTTAGCCTCCCAGTCGTCTTTATTTGATGACGTGGAGCTCATATCGGCCCATCGGCTTTATATTCTGGTCATCTTTATTTGATGGACCAGACATCATATTATGGACGGTCGCTCGACCCATCCCTTAGTCATCTTTATTTGATGACTAGGACTACTTATCATGCCGAGCTACTCACATCTAGAGACTGGTCTCGGCCATCCCCTCAGCAGACGGACACCGTTGCAGCTCCACACCTAGGCCGAAGGGCTCACCCCTTTTGCTTCATTTTGGGGGCATCCGGTGTACTCTTTTTCCCTCATTAGGATTTTTTCCCACTGGGTTTTTTCCTAATGAGGTTTTTAACAAGGCATCTCCCCAACGTGGACAAAAGGTGTCGACCCTCGGTCCGCTATTGAAGACATCACGAGACATGCATCATTCTACTCCTCTTCACCTCACTACATTCACCTCAAGGAGTGGGGGACTGGAAGAGTGGGGGACTTAGCGCCTCCGTTAACCAAAGAATCAGAAAATCAATTTTTTTCACGAAGTTTACTCATCAGACGATAGATCAGCACACAGTTCTACTCCCTTTCGCCTCGAGTACTCTCGACTCAGGGAGTGGGGGACTCCTAATAGAGTACCAGATTTCATTTAGATCATTTATATTATTGTACAACTCATATGTCATTTGTATGTACTAGATTAGTCTTTTATGTAGTTGGGCTTATCGGGCCCATATTAGCGGCCCGACCCATCGTTTCTCTATTTATACTCCCAAAGGGAGCTCTTGTAAACCTAACTCTCAATTCATTATTCATTATCTTCTTCTCCACATTTCTTGAGCTCAACTCTCCATTTTAATATATGTTTGGATACCCCTATAATCCATCAGTTTCTTGACACAAATCGCGGGGAGGCACCGGTCAAGGAAACATTTTTCCCACTTGCTAAATGTGAGGCAACAGAAGGAGGAGCCCCTCCGGAATTTCCTAGAACGCTGGAGGTAGGCGTCGATCGAAGTCGATGGCGCCAACGATAGGACACTGATGGCCCTATTCCACACGCTCCTCCGTAACGGTAATTTCTCCAGGAGCCTTATTATTGATCCTCCCCGCGATTATACAAAATCCCTTCAGTGGGGGGACAAGTATGCCGAGGCCGAGGAAATCGAGAAGGACCGCCGAAATCCGTAACCCGCACAAAGGCATGATGGCAGAAATCACCCCGAGGGACCACCCCCTCCGGCAAACCGCGACACGCAACACAACGACTGAACCCAGAATGGCCAAGCCAGACCCGAGGGCGGTTACAAGAACAATCCGAGGGCGTGGGCACAACCTACCCTCCTGGAACACCCGCACACAAGAAAAGTCTCACAAATCTGCTCAAAACAGTCTCATGTTTCATTTTTCCCTTTTCCCCTAAAATTTTCTTTTCTTTATTTTCATCCCTAGACACTTTTTTTATTCTTTTTTCTATCCTTTTGTTCTTATTTCTTTTTCATTTCTAGTATTCTATTTCTCACTCTATTAGGAGAGTTTTTGTTGTTGTGAAATTTCCCTCCAAAAGATACATCAAATGAACCATTGTAGTCAAGGCGGAGATGACTGACGACACTCGCATCACGGCGTCGGTGCCTGGCGGCAGTATTTATCCTTCAAAAACGTTCCCTGCAATTGTTTCAAATAAGACCGATCCACCTTTGACTAGTCTCACAATGTCCAGATTCAAAGGGATGTCCGTAGTAAGTTTTTATAAGAATGATATCAAAGTTTTAGCGGAAAAGCACAATTGATCTCTCGTTGGAAGGCCAGGTATGAAAAATATGCGTACTGCTTTTGAGAAAATAGGCCTCAATGGTGGTTTTCAATTGGAGTTATTGGAGGAAAAACATGTGCTCATTCAGTTTGATCTAGAGGAAGACTACATATGATGTTGGAATTGCCAAACTTGGGTGATTAATGGCTTTACGATGAGGGTTACTAAGTGGACTACAAACTTTAAACCCAATGTGGAATCCCCTGTGGTTTTGTTTTGGGTTTCCATAGAGAAAAAATCATAGTAAAAATAAAAAATTCAAAAAAAGTTGTAATAAAAATGTCAATTGAACCTATAAGTTAATTTTTACAAACAACTATGAAATGTAAAATAATATACAAATGTTCTAAAACTATTAAAAATATGAAACATAATTAGAAAATTTTTGGAAAATTTGGAATAAATGCAAAATAAATAAAGGTCTTGAACTCATAAAGGATACTTTTTAAAATTTGGAATACATGCAAAACAAAAAATCTATAAGAAAATAAATGAAAGCTCAAAAGCGTGTGAAATTTAAAAAAACCTAAACTCCTAAAAGTTATAGAAAAAATATGTAAAATAAAATAAAAAATGTTTTAAGACTATAAAAAAGATGGAAGACATTTCAAATTTTTATGAAAAGTGTAAACTTTTAAAAAATGGAAAAATAAAAATAAAAAATGAAAACATATGAAATTTAAATAAATTTTTAAATTTGAAAAACTCATAAAAACTATATAAATTTTAAAAAATAAAAATAGAAAATAAATTCTGAAAAATGGGAAATAAATTAAATTATAAGACGTGTAAAAAAATCGGAAATAAAAATTTGAAAATTGATAATAAAATGAAAATAATTAACCTGAAAATTTTTGAAAAATAAAAAAGGATGATTTTTTTGTGACTTAATGCATTTCAAAAGGTCACAAAATTTAATAATTATGTTAGCACTTTGATGTTAGTTTTTGTTTCTTATTGTTTCTTTATGTTTATTTTTGTTGATAACATTGAAATTTTTGTTTTTATTGTTTCTTCTTGTTGTTCATATTCGATTGATATTTAACATTTTTCGTGTTTGTTCGTATTGTCTATATATAGATTTATATTTTAAGGATGTAGAAAAATAAATATATTATAAATCTAAATAAACAAAAAACTGAATAAACAATCATCATTAGATCATCTCCAATGCTACAATGTGCACGGTGCACATGTGGCATGAGAGAGATAGACATAAATGATTGATTTTATGACATTTCTCTCTCCATCTTTCCACGGTCTTATATGTTTTTGGTAAGTTTTTCCTTGCAATGTCAACCACAATGTTTACATCTAGACATTGTGCTTGATATTGTTAAGAAAAACTTACCAAAATGATATAAGATCTTTCAAATAAGGAGAGAATTTCAATTTATTGTTTTTTCATTGGTCATCTCTCATGACACGTATGCACCGTTAACGTTTTAACATTGAAGATGCTCTTAGTAAGAAATACGGTGCAAAAAAAACTAACAAGATGCAACAAAATGCAACACGATGCAACAAAGTGTATACATGTAATAAAACAAAAGGAGACAAAAAATAATATGTAATAGTATCACAATAAATATAAAATTCATTCTATCATTTCAAATGATTATATTTATCCATTATATTATTTGTTGTTGCTTTATCATTTCTTCTCGGTATGTCACCCGTACTGACACCAGTGTTAGTGTGCCTCACCAAAGAGACATCATTGTCTTCTCCATAGATAAAAGCTAGAGAGAAAAAATGTTTCAAAAGAATGACGAGGTAATAGTACAAACAATAATTTTGAAACATGTAATCATAAGTTGGAGGTCAGGTGGAGGAAATCTGAAACATTCTTCTTGGCTCATACCTGGAATTCAATTTAAATCTAATCTCAACATTGTCGAATGTCGAGATTAGGTCTAAAGATTTCATCAAACCCATCCATGATCTAGGTCTAATTGGGCCAATTCATGTCATCAGTTCAACACTCTGGCAAAAATTGTCATCACAAACTCACATATTTATACATATAATCAAACTGAATCCATGGCCATCACATAGAATACACGTGCCTATGGGAAACATTATTTTATCAAAGTGGAACGATAACAGGCGCCATGATGTTAAAGTTTCTTGGTTCTATATAATGATCTGTAGTGTAGTTGGTAGTACAATAGCATGCTTAGGCAGCAGCATCAACAGCAAGACCTGTAGTAGCATCATCCGTCCCAAATGTTTCAATGTACTTTTTCCTTGCGTCGAGATGGTCATGTGGGCGGTTGAACGGAGTCCAAACTGGGTCACCAACAAAGAGACGCATCGCCTGAAAAGAAACAAAAGGCAGTTTTTGAGAAATCACAGCACGCAAAAAATAGCTAACTTCGTATATATGAATAGGACACTGATTCTGTGCTGGACTGCTGGCTTTTCTTTTGGAAATTATGATGTTTAATTGATGTATGTATAGAATAAATGAGAAATAACTCTTCCTTTCACTTCTCCTCCAAAATTCAACTCCCATACATCGTCTTAGGGAGAGAGGATTACGAATACAGAGTATGGTCGACAGCATGATCTTCAAATGGACAAAATTGGTAGCTAGGTACCCCTTAAGTCCCAATGGATATACAAAAGCTAGTCGACAGCAATATACTTCTCAAATCTCAACTTTATGATTGCATCAAGTGTCGAACTATAGAAGACTTTATATGACAGTCACTTGGCAAAGAGAAACGATGGCAGTAAAACTACTTTAATAAAGAGCATGTAAATATTGTTTGGGTATACCTTAATGTAATTATTAGAATCAAGGGTAAAACGGTGATAAATTCCAGCAGGTAGGATTATCATCGCTCCTTTCTTCACCCAGACCCGGATCCATTCATCATTCTTATCGCGTACATCAAAATAACCTTCAATTGAAAGGAGTACAAAACATTAACAACTGTAACATAACGCTGATGAAGTAGAACTAAAACATTTATGTTCTGATCTATGTTGCACGGAAACGTGAAAATCATAAGGAAACGGGAAACGGGAAACGTCAACTTTTGCTCAAAAAATACTTATTTGGAGAGTTTCCAAAGAGTTTCCGAGAGTTTCCGAAACGGGAAACGTACTCTTTCCCAAGAGTTTCCGTGCTACATAGGTTCTGATTGGTAAGGGTTATTTTCAGAAATCACTGTATATGCTGTACTTAAATGAAAAATGTTTCGTAACATCCATTTCAACCGGAAGAGTGTAGGAAAAGCTGCTTAGCAGAATAAGCAAAAACTATGACTTCATCTGAACATAATGAAAATTTTATCATTACTCCCTCCGTCCCATTGGACTTTGACATCTTTCCTTTTTTTTGTCCCAAAAAACTTTGACACTTTCCCATTAATGTAATTATTTTGTGGTTCTACTCATTTCTCTCTCCTCTGCACAAACTTCAACCACACGATTTTTACTATTCTTATTTCTCACCTAACTTAAGGAGTGCAAAGTTTATTGGGACGGAGGTAATATTATTTAATGCTAGTCCTGTACTCAGTATGTTTTATGTGTAGTATAGTATGATCTAGCCTCCAAGTACACAGGTCTTGATGCCAGACAAGTCCAGAATAGATTAAGACCTACCACTCCCGGCAACACAATAGCGGATTTCTTCATCAGTGTGAAGATGCTCCTCAAAGAAATTTTTTATCTTCTCTTCATAATTGGGCAACTTTTCAGGGCACACCTCACAAAAGTCCTGAAGAAGCATAGGGTATACAAATAGATAGGCTTGAAACAAAAAAATGATTAAGCTTATACCAAAATATAACAATTCCACTCTTTTTATTCTCACTTACCATGTATGAATATCCTCGGGATTCACGGATTTGCTTCAAAACCTCATCCTTTTCATAATTGTCAGCATCTAACCTCCAGCTGAGCACTCCAAGCTCTAAGAGTTACAAATTAAGTGTAGGATAATAAATGTTAATTACATCATCAGATGAATAATGAAGTGTGACATCAAACAGGATACAGCGTAGAAACAAACATACCATCAAGTTTGTCAAAGGAGACAAACAGATTTGGCTCACGGTGATGGGGAAGTCTCTGGTCTGCATTGCTATCATCCATATACCATGCCTGTATAACTTCTTCCCTGCTATCCTGCTTGAAAGAAAATTGTATACTTATTGAAATAACAGAGCATCATTTTTCTTCCCAATTTTACTTAAATGGTGGGACAATTTTACATAGATTTTTTTTTGTGAAAACCCTACACTAAACTCAAAGGAGTACACGATGAATGGCGTGGATGAACAAATAAGAAAGAATGCGAGTGTTCAATTCCCTAATAATGCACAACACAGGAAAATGAAAATAACAATCAAACAAGATGAGTAGAACTGGAATGGAGGAGGAAGATAAATCAACACATAGAAAACAATCTCTTTTGATTTTTGTTAGAACTTAACCTAATTCTACAATAATATCGAGAACTATTTTAATTTAGATTTTTTTGATTTTGAAAAATATTTCAATTCGGATTTTTTAAAACAATGACTATTGTGTTTCAAATTCGAAACTTCAAGTGCATGGATTTGTGTCTTTTGAACCTGGATTTTTCAGGGTCATGGTCTGCTAAATAAGATGCAGATCTGGAACGTAATGCAACACAACTAAAGATGTCACTTGGGCAAGATCAAGCAAATAGAGGGCATACAAAGTTACAAACAACATTATCTCAAAGGCTTGAGAGCTACAAACTCATCCCCAAATACATTTAAAGATTCCTTTAATGTAAAACAACGATTTTTTTGAAGAGTTATAATTGCTTTTGTTGTAATTGAAATTCATTATTGATAATGTATATTCAATTCATTATTTATAATATGGGTTTTCACTTACCTAAAACGTCTCAATCCTAAATAATATATGAAAAAATACTGGTTAGAACATTTGTTTGTATTCTCTTATCTATTAGATTAGACAAATTTAAGTCAAATAACAAGTAAGCAATTGAAGCTTTTAAACTAAGGTTATGTGGGGCAATTTTTGTGCTACAAATCTCATCACCCTTTTGGGAATAATAACTGACCAACAACAATTAGCCACAAATATAGTGAATATCCATCAATAATCTTTGTACACAACTCAAATACTTAAAGAGCTGTGTATAGAACGATAAATCCAAATGGATTTTATATATCCTCATTAAATCGATTAAATGAATAGATTTAAAAGCCTTTTCAAAATTGGTATACAGTAACTACTCAAACCGATTTAAACAAATTAAAATTCATATCATAAATCTGAAAGTGTAACAAAACCATATGAGTTAAAAAAAATTAAATCATATCATAAATCGTATTAAAAATGTTATCAATCAACTTGCAACACTCAACAGTCAACAGATGCAAATACCTTAATTATAGAGGACGAAAATGTTGTATGTATACCCATCAGCTTTCCCGTGGCCGGATTACCGGTTGGCGTCGTTGATTGAGACTGTTCACAAACGATGAAAGAAGGAAAGATGCGTATCGGTGAGACGTCTGGAGAAGGAACGAAGGGAGAAGCTACGGACAAGAGATGAAGGGGTCCAGAGAGCATCGGGTTGGGTTTTGTTGGGTATTAAATGGGCAGTGCTAAACGGGTACTTGGACCGGGCCGGATTTTAGACTTCTTTAATACTACATTATTTTGAAAATTTTGACCAACTATATCTTTTTATTGAAAATAATTTATAATATGAAAATTTTCTTTGTTAAAAATACTTTCATAAAAATATAAAATTTATTACTTTCATAATATTATACTAATCAAATCCAAGGTTAAAATTTTTTAAAATGATTTTTTTTGGGACGCTGGTAGTATTAAAACCAAAAGGCCGATAAAACACATAAATATATTGTGCAAGTATTCTTGAATATATGGACACATTTTTTTTATTGTGTTTTTATCATAATCATTACCTCGTTATCATTTATAATGAAAGACGTAGGCATTTTAACAAAATGTTCTCGAGAAACTAAAAAGTTTAATTTAGCACTTCGTATTGAACCTAACAAAGTGTGTATCATAATTCTGTCGTGATTTTTTTAGATTTTATATTTTTATTTATATTTATATATACTTTACATATTCTCTATATTTATATTCTCATATTGATACATTTATATATTCTATACACGGAGTACTTCTTTTCCTTCAAAACTTGACCAAAGTTGACCGAGTTTTATGAGACGGAAGTAGTATAATTCAAATTTAAATAGTTATCATTTTGATTATTCCTTAAATGTGTGCTTTGTATTGTACAATATAATTTTATCTTTCTTTGTTATTGTTGTAAATTGTAGATGTAAAAATTATTACTTCCTCCGTCCCAATTTACTTAGCCAAACTTGACTTTTCAAGTCAACGGCGTCTAACTTTGACCGATTATATATTTATATAGATAAAGTATTGATAATATGAAAATGATATGAAAATGTTCTTTGTTAAAAACACTATCATAAAAGTATAAAATTATTAAATTTTACATAAATATGTTAGCTTAAATAATTGGTCAAAGTTAGAGGCCGTTGACTTGAAAAGTCAAGTTTAGCTAAGTAAATTGGGACGGAGGTAGTACATTTTTTTAAAACATGGTTGTTCCATGCATCGCACGGGAGAGAATCTAGTTGAAATAACAAAGCATCATTTTTCTTCCCAATTTTATTTTATTTCTAAGACAAAACGTTCTAACTTTGAATGGAGAAAATCAAGTTAGTCAAGGAGCTATAAGCTAACACGTCATTCAATTTTGGTACGCCAAGGAGTATTAATATTTTTTTCGCTTTTCAATTGACTGCCATTTTCAGATCATCCCTACTTAAGGATTGTATTCTTATCAATTGACTTCTCATCTCCCCCTAATAATTCATATCAATCCATCATGATTACTCGAATTCCAATGGTTCAAACAAAATGTCTTTAGTTCACATTAAAGTCAAGGAATTTAAACGATTGCAAACAAAAAACGACATCGATTCCTACAAAGAGGAAGAACTACTCCTATTATTATGGGTTATTTATTATTTTCGGTAGTATACTCATTATTATTGGTTGCGTATTATTTGTGGTAGTGAAGTTATATTAGAAATATACTCCTTAGTTAGAGTCCATTATGGACGGAGGTTTTCTCTAGCGCACATGCAGTGTCACGTCCCGGACCTACCCGGATACGTCAACAATCCGCCGTATAGTACGAATAGTCAACCGCAGTCCAACTCATCCATACTATACAAGGCGTCTTTGAATACCATTCACACATAGTACATCCATAAACAAACATAATGTAAAACATTCATTTAAAACAGCGGAAACAATATTACAAGTGTTCAAGCCACACTTGGCATAACTAGGCATACAAGCCCCCAAATGATTGTTCAGAAAATAATATCCATGAGCATTGTTATAATTGTTTTTGAAACATAAACGGAGGAAGCATGAACCACGTCTTCTCTCCTAGATCTTCCCGAAGCCACGGGCACTAGTAGCAAGTGACGAGCACTTTGTCACGGTGCGTCAAAATAATTTTCAATACTAAACACTTATACGTAGTATAACGTAGTAGAGTTCGTATCCACAGGGAAAGGAATAATTATCTTTTTGTGATACTTAGTAAATAAAAAGGGAGGAATTTGGATTGAGTGATTTAATTTAATTAAGAACTAAGATGAACAACCTATATGTGTTTAATTCAAAGATAAAAAGGACTTGACATTGTTACTCTCCACTTGTTGATATATTTTAGTCGATCATTGTTATATCTATAACTTATTCCCTCTCGAATACTCAATCGGGGAGTATATCCATTTCATCGAGGGTAGTTATTAACAACAACCGTTCATTAATAACCCTTACTATTAATCAAATATAGAACAACGCCTTATACCGATTTAATAGTAGCATTTAATCTTTCTAACTCCTTGATGAAATCAATTGAGATTGATAACCTCAACACAACGGTTTCGGTTTAACCAACAAAATTAATCCCTCTTAAGTTTATTAACCACGACCGTGCATTAATAAACTGAAGTTACTTACTTGTGAAACCATCAACGATTAACCATCGGTTCGTTGATCGTTTCTAGTAATAATTAATATATGAAACAAAACTAGTTGATCCTTTAAGTAATGTTCAAAATATTAATATGAAATATGAGTAGGGATTAATTAATATTCAAGGAAGAATATTATTAAAGAAGATGAATCCTACTATAATTAATATCAAGATGTTAACTAATTGTCATCTTAGCAACACTCCCTAATATTAATATAGAGGAAGAAAATACCATTCTAACTAATGTCGAGATGTTAACTAATTGTCATTTAGCAACACTCCCCAACATTAATATAGAGATGGTATTAAGGAAAGAACTATTAATTAATATTCAAGGAAAGAAGTTAAGAAAATAACTCACAACTTTAATAATCAACAAGCTTCAAGAGCAACACCAAGAATGGAAGTTTAGCTCCTCATTTGGAGACTAAACATAGCTAGAAAAATATAAAGAAATGATATTCTAAAATGAGCTTAAGAGTATGGAAGAATGGGATTTTTTTAGACGAGAAAAAGTGTGCTATTTATAGGTGTTTTTCAACACCTTTGGCTGGGTATCCGACCGGGTCAAGTACTTACCCGACCGGGTCCGGTCAAAATCAGATAATCCGCCACGTTCTGGTGATCTTCGCACGTCATTTTGTCCCGGGTCACATCTGACCCGACCGGGTCAAGTAGGAGACCCGACCGGGTCCAGTGACTTTCTTGGCAATTTCGTCTGTTAAATCCTACCCGACCGGGTGTTGGTTTCTACCCGGTCGGGTTTCACTCCTGGGCAGTCAAATTTCTTGTTTTCTTCTCTTCAAAGTCATCCTTTTCAACACCATAATTCCTAATTCTACTTTACAACTTATAAATAAAGAATAAAATACAATTACAATTGAAATTACATAAATATTTACAAACTAAATAAAATGTCAAACAATCAATATAAATCAAATATAAAAACATGCAATTATGCACTACTAATTAGTGTGCATCAGCAAGCTCAGCTCCTACCTGAAACTGTGAGGTGGCCTCCCCCGTGAAGGGGAGGTCAGTACTTGGAAGCATTTGACAAGTACAATGACAACTATACTAAGTATAATCAACGTTTCAATTTCTAAGACCCTCAGTCTAGGGTGATATTATATTATAGGCTATAACCCTCGGTTACCCCTTTATAAAAATTATACTTACTTTATATCAAGTCAAGTAGTCGGCCCGTGGGCTCATATTCATTTAGAATTCGTCATTTTCGTTTCCCGTGACCATAAGCCACGACAACCCCATAGGGTACCAATGAGCCCCGATTGTATAGCAAGGGCTCGGCCCAACTATATTTCTATACAATCCTTTAACTCAATCTAGTACATCAAAATTGTATGGAAAGGACTCGGTCCAACTACGTTTCCATACCAACCATATAACTTCATGGCAAGGACTCGGTCCAACTACGTTTCCATGAAGATCACAAATACATGGCAAGGGCTTGGCCCAACTACGTTTCAATGCTAATCACATTACATGGCAAGGGCTCGGCCCAACTACATTTCCATGCAATCCTAGAGTCCGACTCTAATTTATTTCCATAGCCCAATTCTCAAGCAAATCCTATGCCTAGAATCAATTCACTTGGGTAGCCTTTAGGCCTACCCCTAGCACACCTTAGTGTTCGCACAATTCAACCTTGAAGTATCACTTAAGACTACTTAAGGCATCTCTATTCACAATCATGTCTCTTAGGATTAATTCCATCATTTATTTATATTAATCTTCCGACTAGTATTTCAATACTAGTCGGATAATCTTAGAACAACCAAGTTCTTAATTCATAGCCAAATAATTCATCTCAATTGATTTTCCAATCCAAATATGATTTAATCTCAATATAAAAAATATCACTTTTATCCATTCATGAATTCCTTACATGAAGTAAAAGTATATTTTATCACAACATTTCATAGTTAATCCCATCATCATGTCATCTCTTTCATTTTACATAATCATACACATTTTATTCTAAATTTGTATTTCATGCTTCACTTCTCATATCAATAGTATTTTCATTTAGGCATTATTAATCATTAATAACCCATGAAAATCACATTCAATTACCTTAGGTAATCTTATGAAATTAACTCACTAATTATAAGTAATATAGTGAGCCATACTCACCTCGAATGAGCTTTAAGAAGTTCTACCCTTCTCGGTTGAACTCCGGCGAAAACTCCGGCGACAGTTGGGAACACTTTTGTCAAGCTCCTAACAAGGTTTTATCATCACAAAACCCATATCAACACAAATAACCTCTAAAAGGTTATTTTCCGGTGAACCAGTCATTTGGCTTCTAAGTCCGTTCTTGGACTTAGAACTACCTTCCAACCCCTTGTTCTACACTTCTAAACATGTAGAACAACCCTAGGGGTCCTCCATATGATATATAAGTCATATGATAGATAAGAAAAAGAGAAAAAGTCATTATAAGGTCATTACCTTAATCTTTCGCACTTTCCCTATCTTTTCTTTCTTTAATCTTCTTCTTTGGGCCTCTATTTCTTGGGCTCGAAAATTGCAGCTATGGAGG